GTATATGTATCTATTTATATACCTATTTATATAATATAGATCTCTATATTATACACTCCTGATATGATATGCACTGAACCAAAAGAGGACATTAACGGCTCATAGATTGCACAAGTAAATTTTGGACAAGTAAAATAAAAATTCGGACAAGTAAAAATTGCTTCTTGTTGCCCGACAGGACAACCAGATCTGAAAATAAGCGTCGAGGCCTGTATATATATGTATATATATATATATATCGTAATTTATATCATATTTGTATAAATATATATGATGATACATTATATAATTATTTTTAGGATAAAGATAATACATTGATTACACAGGATGATACAGTACAATACAAATCTATAAAGCAGATCTATCCAGAGATTGTAAGTAGACAAATCTATCCTCGCCTATGGTAGAGACTCTTACAACAGGTAGAAAACTTACTGTTCATGTTGGCGAGAAACTCGGGCAGGTAGAAAAACTCAGGTATGAGTTCCTTTACATCGTTAGGGCTATCCATCAAAATTTGCCAGGTTTTTGGAATCGCGCGAAACATTCGGTCAGCCACATCAAACCTGCAGAGTGCATCATCATATGTCATAATCGATACAATGCTTCAGCAATTTGTATATCTCTGATTTCACTATATGAAAGGCATTAACCTTCACCGATGTTCAATTATTACATATTTAACTGTAATCATGAATTTATAGGTGGATGGAAACGATAAAGGATAACAACACAAAGTTATTTAAGCTTATGTAATTGTGCCTACGATGGGATAACATACACACCAGATAGATATTTCTTGTTATAATATAAATGAAATTAACATAACGTGTGTCTAATTTTTTGTACTCTATTGTAACATTTTTCCCTGTAGAAATGTCCATGTATGATTAGCAGGCATGTGAATCTCTGTACACCTAACAGACAGCCTAGAAAGGTGTATGCATAGCTTCCAGCCACTCACCTGCCACTTTGAAGCTCAATGTGCAGGGATGTGAACGGTTCCACTCGGACCATATAATGAATCACGCCAGCTGCGTTCGAGTAGTGCGTCCCATAGTGGAAGCCAGGAACACCCGTCGGGTCGTCAAACGTGTCATACCTGCAGCAGAAAGAGTAAATGATGCTTATAGCTTTACACATACAAGCTGTGGATGCCCATAGCTTAACAGAAGCAAGTTGTTGGTGCTCTGACCTTCACAGATACAAGTTGTGGATGCACACAGCATCACAGAAACAAGCTATGAATGCATACAGCTTTAAAGAAACAAGTTATGGATGTGCACAGCTTCGCAGAAACAAGGTGTGAATGCCTACAGCTTTACAGAAACAAGGTGTGGATGCCTACAGCTTCACAGAAACAAGCTATGGATGCTCACAGCTCAACAAAGTTCTGAGACTTCTTGCACATCTGGAAGTGCATCATACTCGCTGAAAAGATAAACCACCAAAGCCGTTACTTACTTCTCCTTCACTTGGCGAGCATTCTTAGGGTTAACGACTCCCACAGGCTTGCTCAGGTCTCTATACACCAGTGGGTTTTCTAGATCCAACTCCTCAGACGTGTAATCTGTCAGTATCCATGGAAACTAAAAACACAAAAGCAATTCTCTTAAATTCCATAAACGAAAATTACGAGAAGGAATCGATAATTTAATTAACATCATTGTCAGGATACAGAATGATAACATATATGCACAGGCATGTGCTTTTTTGCTAAGGGGTCGTTTGCTAAATTCTTAGAAGACTTGCTATTGCACTCACCACTGGGTACTGGCTAAGGTCGTTGTAAGTTCTTCCAGCTATAGTGTTCAGCTGCATTAGGTAGTCAAAGTTTGAAATCTCTCTCTGACGCCATTTCTGTGAATATACGAGGTGCATCAATTCGTATGCAATAAAAAATAACGACTTGGTATAGCTATAATAAACTTGTATAGTACAGTATATCTAGATCAATGACATTGCAGTTTTTATTACTTGTGTTATTACTGAAGTGAATTGTTTGAGTTTAGTGCTACATGTACCTCTGTGAGGCTAGATGCCTTCAGTAGCTCTGCCGGAGAGCGAATGCCATTGTAGGAGAGATTGGCTGGCCGCAAGCCGAGTATCTTACTGTAAACTTTATTCCTAACCTGCAAACGGAAAACAAACCACGGATCGCACACACATTATTGAGATAAGATATATATAATTTATAAACAAGTCCAAGATTCTTCTGCACGTTGACAAGGCACAGACTCAATGGTGTGATGCGCACTTTGTGAATTTTTTTTTATCTGCCTGTGAATTACAGGGCTGTATTACTGATGCTAAATGGTGTGAGCTGTGTAATCTTGCATTGAAGCCTCGTTATGTGCCACCAGCCTTGGTTATGCTGCACAAAACACAGACTGTACCACACACTGACATCACCACATTATGAATGTACCACACACTGATTATACCACATTATGAATGTACCACACACTGATTATACCACATTATGAATGTACCACACACTGACTGTGGCACAGGCGTACTGTACCATACACTGTGTGTGCCACACTGACTGTACCACACTGACTGTACCACACAATTACTTTACCACCCACTGACTGTAGTTGAAGACATGATTATGTGCCCTGTGCTAATGACAGAGTCTCGTACACTTGTCACAGCACATGCTGGGTCGAATGCACTGCACACTTAGTATGCCATGTATGCCACACTCTGACCACGGCTGAACAGTCCCCTGACTGTGCCCCGCTGTAGACCGACCATGTACCTTTGTATTGCTGAAGTTGAGGAAGAAGTTCGTTTGGTCGAGCAGGAAGAATTCGAGAGCGCTGCGGCGCAGGTTGTAGCGGCGTAGATGCACCTCTCTCAGGTGGCACACCGAATACTTGAAGTCTTGGTTTCCCTCTGTAGACAATGAGAGTAAGTACTGTTCACCTCGTTCGTCCACTCAAGAGCCAATTAACTAGCAACGAAAATATTAATTAACCTTTACATTTCAAATTTCAATTACTCAACCACGGGAAAAGTAGTGATTACATGGATTATGTGTACATATCACATCAGGGGACTGCCAGTCAGTCACTGATTAGCAATGAATTATGGATGTGTATAAAGATTTTAGTTACCTATCTAGCAACAGTTAATGAAAGTGTCAATGACACTATAGCTCACATTGGGTGGGATAGAACAAAGAGATGATATTTAAAATTTGGCAAGTATTTCATTTATGACGAACCGAAATGTGATCAAATGTCCTTATTCCCTGTTTTATACTAATAGAAATTTCACTGTTTTGTTTCAGGGTTAGTTTTGATGCGAAAATAAATGTTTCAGATCTGAAAGTCTGAAATCTGGGCGAGAGATGGCACTATGCCTAGATGATCGCCATTTTGGTTTTCGATTATCGCGCAAATAAAAGCAATAAAACGGTTATCAAGTTATCGTTGACCGTAGCCAAATGTTGATGGACAGACAGACGTACGACAGACAACGCCCCATGGAAATAGCTCATCTTGGCGATGTCAAGGTGAGCTAAAAATTGATTGATAAAATCACAATCTGTTTGTGAATTTCAAAAAGTTTTACAACTACAGCAATAAAAGTTTAACAACAAAATGATGATGTGCCAGCGTGCAATGGGGGCATCAGTACATTGAGCTTTCAATCAATACTGTACATATTGCTGAGCCGCTAAGACTCCTCACCTTCGTCTATCTTATTGCTGCTGTCAAAGAAATACATGTTGGTGTTGGTGACTTCGAACTTGCCGGGTGTCACGTCTACAAGTGTTACGAGCGAGCACACCTCGGAAACAACCGTCTTTACCTTCTCCTGAGCCTCTGCGCTTTGCGAACTGGGAAGTCAAAAAATACACATCACACGAATTCATACGTTCTTCAATGAGGACACCCAAGACACCATCTTACACCGTAGATCAATCCATGCTGCGAACGCACCACCATTACTATTTCAGCTATATTTCTATATGATCATCTCGGTTACCGCCCACCCATCACCGTTCTCATTCCCCATTGTCCGATGTCTTACTTTGCAGCGCTGAGCTGCTTCCACTCATCATCGCCAAGCCTGTCCTCAACCATCTCGGAAACGCGGGCCTGCTGCGCCACCGCTATGGGAAAGTTCTCTAGCGCAACTTGGTCCCGATCTCCCACGGCTGTAACATAACCGAAATATGCACGCATTAATTAAAGAGCCTAATTCATCAGTCAATAGATTTAAATGTTAAACTCAGAAAAAACGTGCCGAAGATCAAAGGCATTTATTAAACGAGTACTGTTCTGCTAGCCCACTTTTGACAGTGTCCTGCTTTCATGTAGTTCTACACATGTTATCACATCGAGGTGATGTGTAACGAACGTTCTTTAGTCTGTTTTAAAACTAGGGCTTACAAACTTAATAAAAAGTCGACTACATCCCTCTGTTTAAGCAATGTCGATAATTTGTATAAGCAAGCCAATTAGACATAGGACATAGATGTAGGGCTCATGCAAATGCAAAAACGTTACTCACTAGACTGGACCTTTATACACTGCCTCAACTAACCTCTATTTTCTTACTATGGATGGGTACTATACAAATGATGAGAGAATATATTACTGGCATATTCTGCCTCATATCTTAAGCCAGTGAAGATTTATACCTTGAAGGTTGTCACGGAGACGGCTGGCGTCTGTGTGATCACTGTAGCTCCAGTTGTGGGTAAGTTTGACCCTCATACGCGAGAGGTTCTCATGAGGAGACAGCTTCCAGTGCTTGAATTCCGCATCCCTGGAGCAGCCAAGCAAACTACCGGCTCTTAGCGCACACAAACATCAACCATTCATCACGTATATTCTTATCATCAATATTCATATTAGCTATCAGTGTGCAATAGAACCTGTGCTTGTAAATTTCATCAGATTGAATAATATATTGCCAGATGATATCACATACGCCGTTTTGTAAAAATATTATGTAATAAACCCATGAAATGGTCCCACATGAGAACAAATGGTTCTTAGTATGACTTCCCTCCTTATATTAAACATAATATAATATAATATATAATATAATATAAATTAATAATCATATAATATAATTATAATATAATAAAAACAAAATACAATTAGTATATTAAACAGTTATGTCAAAAATGGGAACCGAACCCTTAAGATAAATTAATGTCGTAAGATATTATAATGACAATAATATTCTCAGCTGTAACAGTTTAATAATCAGCAAACCTAGCAGCCCAGGCTCCTCTCTCTCCCTCTAGAAAGCGCTTTATCATATTCCATTGCCTCAGGGTAGATTGGTGCTGCTTGTTAAGCAACTGCATCGTTTGCTGATATCGTTTTCTCTCTTCCTTCCCTCGCTTTTTGAAAGGTTCTATGATTGAGCTCTGAAATCTGTACAGTAACCTAATTGTTCAATGCTGAAACCATGACCATGAACAATGAAAGTACTGCTAAGCGGTAAGTAACATGACAGCAATACTCCACAGTGCAACCTGATAACGGCAGTGCAACTCAATGGTGAACCACGACACGTACGAGGACATGAAGTAAGAGTACATGAAGCGTGACGAGGACAACAACAACAACAACAACAACAACAACAACAACAACAACAACAACGTCAATGACAACGAAAACAATCACTACAACACCATAAACCAAAACGGTAATCACAACATCATCATCAACAACAGTAACAGCAACAACAACATCATCATCATCAACAAAAAGGGCAACAAAACCAGCAACAACAACAACAACAACAACCGCAACAACGCCGTGGTCACCTCACCTTAGCTTGCTCTCTCCCATCTCGCGGTTGCGCATGTGAATGACGACCATCATCGCCTCGTAGCAGTCCTTCCAGAACATCTTCATGTTCTCCTGCTTCTCGGCGTACACCTCCTCGACGTGCACGCGCCGGCCCGGCATCACCCGCCGCCGCAGGAACTCCCGCCACTCCTCGCCGTCGGAGTACTCCTTGAACGTGTCGAAGAACGACGGCGCGAGGTTGGAGAGCGGCACGCTCGGCAGGTGGCGCTGCACGTCGAGCATCGGGGCGCACTTCTCGACGAGGCACTTGATGACGGGGATGAGGAAGGCGAAGCGGTCGCTGTCATGTGGCGTGCGCGCGAGCACAAGGTCGACGCCGCCGAGCAGGAAGCATGCCTCGTTGGTGCCGCGCAGATGACGCGTCTGCAGCAGCATGTTCAGCTTCACGGTTGCCATGGCGACCAGGTCCAGCTCCTCGCTCTCGATGAAGACGAGCAGGATCGCGAGACCAGTCTGCGCCATCTCCGTCCACTCCTCGCCAATCTGCGGGGAGTCATCACTGACTGAATGACTGACTGACTGACTGACTGACTGACTGACTGACTGACTGACTGACTGACTAATAACTGCTATCTAACTAAGTATCTAGGCAGGAGGGTTAGTCGTTTGATAGATATTACGCGACAACGTATGTGTGTTCTTCCGATATATTTTGACTATGATGAAGACTCTTTCAATAGAAAATGTAGGCAGAAATTATTTTATTTAAAAAAATAAATGTTTACAGATTTCTACAGATTTTTATATGCTAGATTTTTACAAGTTCATCAAAACCCCAATAGACAAACACAGACAACACAGCGTGTCCAGCTGAACTATCGGACACCAAGTATAATGATATAAAGGTTTACCTGGTCATCCCAAACAGCCAGTGTGTCTAACATTGCCATCAGATTCTCCAGCAAGGAGGCACTGCACTTGTTGCTATCATTTTCGCCATGTTTGGCTACGAGGAAGTCATGGGCAATACGCACCACCTCCACTGCATTTTCTATATATTTGAAGTTGCTCTGGTGATTATCTTTAAGATCTGAGAGCGCTGCCTGAACAGACATCTCTAGAAGCCTGTGAAAACATTTCTGCCATTAATTGCAGCCATTATTCTTTTACCCTGCGTCTTATCGTTATGATGTTTCTACACCTACTGATTAGAGATGGAGACTAATAGATCAATCTTTTCTATCAAAGTGATCCAAGGCTTTTCAAGTATTTTAGGTAAATGGTCTCTAGTTCTATGAGAATAGAGATAGATAAGAGAATGCCTGCAATGACAGCAAGTATACAGGTTGAATACATGGCTGTATTCATGCAATGCACCTAGCTCATACACACACACTCACAGGTTGTCGCAGTCTGCTGGTAAATGGAAAGATCAAATGGTGATTGACTTTCGACCCTGAGCGAGTCATGCACGTACACACCTTCGTTTCAGCTGCAGAGCAGGAACGATGAGCTCATTGTTCATTCCTAGTGAGTTGAGGCAGCTGAAGACCTGGCCTCTCTCCTTCCACACAGCCCTGTCACTGCCATCCATCCCTCGCCACATGATCATGTGCAAGATGTTGAGCAGCAGCTGACACAGCTGCTCATCTTTGCCTGTAGTATCTGTAAGCAAGCAGGGAGATGTGTCATACTAGTAGAGTCTGCCAGGTAAGCAACATGTAAAATAAACACACAATGCACGCAACGTACACAATGTATGCCATCAAAACAAAGTGGAATGTCTAAATGATGTGTGAGGTGTAAAGACGGAAACAACGTACGCTTGTGTTTTTTAACCGAATAGAGAGTTGCACTTACCAGTGATATCAAAGTGCAGTGCAAGGCCATTCCAGTTCTTTGGGTAAATGGTCTCTGGTTCCATTAGAATAGATGATGACATGCCTGTACTCATACTATCTGTGCTTGACATTACACTCCCTGCAACAATGAAGGCATACATGCATTTTCTATGCACACAGACTGGACACATCCGTAACGCTGTTAACTCTAATACTCTGACCAATAAATGACCTCAGAACAAAATTATGAAACGATGACTTCTAATATCTACAACTTACCATTGACTAGTACCATATACTATCCAGTGACTATAGTGACTAGCTGTGAGCAGTGACTAACCAGCCACTATTGACTACTCAGTGACCAGTGACTACCAGCCACTATTGAGTACTCAGTGACCAGTCATTAGACATGACCAGTGACTAATCAGCTGCTATTGACTACTCGATGACCAGTCACTAACCAGCTGCTATTGACTACTCAGTGACCAGTCACTAGACATAACCATTGGCAGCAACTATTGACTACCGAGTGATCATCAAGAAATGAGCGAGTACTCACCAACTAGGGATGCAATGCTGTTGGCTGTGGAATTAAAGATTCCGCTGTCGCTCTGTTTGCGTGGGGCAGAAAGTCGCTCACTGCACATCTCTGGGCTCTCACTACAACATCAATGATAACGCTGTTCTACGTGTGTTCTAACGGGTGCAAAATCAACTCTAACTATGTGATATGCTATCAATCAATGTAGCATGCATTTAAAAGCCTAACTGTGTAATAACGTAATATGTTAATATAATCACTGGAACATTAACCTTAATATTCTGTGATTCAACAAGTGTTTTAACAGCTACAACATCAACCCTATCTCTGTAATATGCTATTATTCACTGCAATATCAACCTTAACTCTGCAATATCTTATTTATTAGTACAACATGAACCCTAACTCTGCAATACAGATTCATTAGTGACTACAACATTAGTCCTAACTCTTTAATATACCATTACTCACCAGAACATTAATCCTAGCTTTTTTTTAATATACCATTTTTAACTAAAACACCAATGATGACAATTCATTAATGCAGTGCCCAATGCTATATCATGTGCGAATCATTGAGGTGATGTAATGTAACCCGAAATAAACTTACGACCTCGGTGAACCGTGCCACTCACCTGTGAGAGCGTGACCTTGGGCTCTCCTCGCGCACGCCTGCCATGGCTGCTGCTGAAGCTGCCGGCGACGTTGTCTGTGAGGTTGCCGTGGACAGCGCTGTCATCATGTTGTCGTCGTAGGTCTGGTCATCCTCAAACTGCAGGTAGGTTGGCACGGTCGGGCTCACGTCGGTCGCGCTCTCACCGTTAGTTCCCTCCACACCTGAGTGATGAGACCGACAAACGCATGCAGCAGACTGTAAACCTCAAAGCTCACAGTAGTGAATCGTTAAATCACTGTAAATCCTCGCCCTTTCTCAGATTAATACATGCAGGGCATCACGATAAACTGAGAAAAAAATGAGAAAAATCACTGCCAATTTCGTGACTTTTAGCTGATGTTTAAACATCCCCAAACGACAGTCCCCATGCATGCTCCAACCTTGTTCGTAATTAGCAAGTCTCTGTATTTTCCCACCTGCAGGTGGCGCCACAGGCACAGCTTCCTCTTCTAGATTGAGCATGGTGTCGTCGCTCGTGCTCTTCGGTAGTGAGTCGCTCGAACACTCCAGGTTGAGCAAGTTATCATCACTGTCGCTGCCACTCACTGTGTGCTGTGGCGAGCCAAGGCCAGGATGGCAAACCAACAGTCTGCAGCAATCAACGACAGTGGTAAAGCGACGGTCACAATCAAAGTAATCCGAGAGTTAAAACCTCAGATGTGAAATAGTAGGCATGCTGGCATTCGCAGGTGGTGTCATAAACTACACTGGATACATCAAGCAACTTCTGGATCTAAAACACCAACAGAACTCTAACAGTGTAGGTGGTTCAGACGCAGTACCAGACATACAGGACATAATTATCATTTATTTACATACAGAGTTGTTACCAGAGAATTTTGGAAGGAATGTTGTTTACAGACAAATGGCATGGGAGGGTAGTTATACCAATTGGAGTACAATATGAGTGGCCCCAATACACACAGACACAGGAAAGCTCGATTAGTTCAGAGACGTATACATCAAGCTGTGAAAACACAATGCATGACTGTGTTGGGATTGTCAACGTCAAGTAAACAGAGCTGGAAATCGAGGCATCTCGATTAGGCAATTACGGCATGTGGGAGGACTTAAAGGATGCTGCAAATTAGCTTCAGCTTCGAAGTCACGGCAGACTCAACATGCGTTACATGTCTGTGGAGAACCAGATATAGGTACGCACGCACGCACGCACGCACGCATCGGCACGCGACGCACGCACGCCCGCACGCTACGCACTGCAGCGGCAATTTATTCTTCTACCACTCGATTTCGCAAAACCCCCCCCCCCCGTGAACGCGGCGTACCCACCTCGCGATGCTGTCCTGCCACGCGAGCTGCTTCGCGAACAGCTTGCACGCGCCGCTCTTGTTCAGCAGCGCGTTGAGCAGCTTCGTTGCGCGCGGACGGCCAAACCTTCATCTCAACGTCGGCGGCCGGCGCGAGCTGCAGACACCGCGAGGGCGCCGGCGTAGACCCGCCTCGCTGTACGTCCGCCAGCAGCTGGTCGATCATGGCAAGCAGCATGCGAGGCAGACGTCGTCGCCGCCGCCGCGCATCAGCGAGACGAGTCCGCTGTGGCCGACATCGACGAGGCGCGCGTACGACTTGTGTTTCTCGTACACCTGCGACACGGAGAGAACAGCGTTGTCTGATTAACGAACGCGTATCAAGGGCGATCTAATCCTGTGTTTCTCGTACACCTGCCGCGCAGAGAATAGCAGAGTCTAGTCAAGGAAACACGTGATCAAGGGCAGTGAGCGACATTGCCGCTCGTTCAACTCGTTGTCGCAAAAACGCGAAGGTGCCGAAGTGAATTCAACGTGAAACACGTTACTCATCCCTTCGATTACTACCTGACAAACGGTCGAGTAGAAACTCTGAAACTGGCTACGCGGCTCATCGATTTACACCTATCAAATGTCGCGTGCGTAAACACTTCCTCCAACCCATCGTTCGTTCATGCATCGTTCACGCATCTCATCGAACGTTACACCTATCGAATGTCGCGTGCGTAAACACTTCCTGCAACCCATTGTTCGTTCATGCATCGTTCACGCATCTCATCGAACGTTACACCTATCGAATGTCGCGTGCGTAAACACTCAAAGATTCCTCCTCAACCCATCGTTGGTTTTACCACATGTCTCCCATCCCTCCCTTCCTGCCTGCTGGCTACACTGGCTCACCTTCTCGGTGCGCAGCAGCAGCGACAGCACCTTGACGACCCTGTACTTGAGCTGGACGGAGAAGCGCTTGTCCGGCAGCAGCGCGTACAGCTGCTCGGCACAGCCCGGCTCGTGCATGAGCAGCAGCAGCTGGTCGCGGCCGCCGCCGCCCGCCTCGCTCGCCTCCAGCATCGTCTGCAGCGTCGCAAACACCTCGAGCAGCAGCTCCTCCTCATCGGTCGCCGCGGCGACGAAGCCGAGCAGAGCGGCGACCTCCTCGTGTGTGATCTCGCGCGACACAAAGTAGCGGACGAGGCCGAGCAGTGCGACGCGGATCGCGCGCGCGTCTTCCGTCTGCACGGTGGCGCCCTCGCGCGTGTAGTACGTGCGCACAAAGTCGAAGAGGTACTGCACGCCGTACTTCTTGCGGAAGTACTTGCGCTCGTCCTTGACGATCGTCGACAGGTACTGGATGTGCCCGATGCGCACGGGGAACTCCGAGCGGCTCCAGATGCGGAAGTCGAAGAGCAGGTACTGGTGCACGCAGCGCAGCAGCTGCGCATTGGCGTGCCCGACTGCCTCGACGAGCAGCTGCAGCGCCATGAGCACGTGCACGTCGATGAGCGGCGGCGGCAGCCGCTGCAGCAGGGCGCCGACGACGGCGACGCCGTTCGAGCGCAGCAGGATCTCCTGGTTGAGCGCGTTGTCGGCGACCATGTTGCGCAGCAGCGTCAGGAAGCCGGCGACCTGGTTGCGCTCGAGGTGCGCGTCGGCAAACTTGCTCGTGCCGCCGACCATCACCCAGTCGTCGGGCGCCGCCGCCTCGACAGACGGCGCCCTCTGCAGGGGCGAGTCGGCGACGCCGTCGGACGCGCCGTTCGAGACAGCTTGCTCGAGGATCGGGAAGAGGACCTGGACTCCGCCGACGCAGTTAATCATCTGGAACGCGAATCGTCGGCGCGGTCATCGCAAACATCCCGTCGTGCAAGTTATATCTACGTGAGTTATTATCTATTACGCGAGTTATTATCTACGCGAAAAATCTGCATCTACGCGTTTATTAGGAATTCCTGGATAGACGGCGAATTACGGGAAACGCGCCTAACCTGTTTGATGTCGTAGGTGACGCACTTTGGCGCGGAGATGCGGGCGTCGTACATGTGATTGGGAGACAGGTCGGTGCAGATGCCATCTTTGCAGGCCTTGGCGCTGTAGTAAAGCACAAGCTTGCTGGCCAGCTCGGTTGGCTCACTCTCCTCATTCAGAAATGGTGTCAGGTTGTTAGGTCCTGAGAAGAAAATGTCAACGCCAAGTTAGACAGCATTGGTCAAACGTCTGACGTGATGATTCGATCCAAATTCTTCTTTTGTAACAAAAAAAACAGGAGTGTATATCTAACATGCAAAAAAAAACAAGCTGGCTTCGATACACACGTGACAAATTCAACTCCAAATCACACCATGGTAATTGTCGCATATACCAAGAGAGCCGTGCATACCTGCCATGTATAGCTGTATTACTTGTGTTGCCTGCAATGCCTCGTGAAACACGCACACGCAGCCCAGCTGCCCCTGCAGTGACATCGGCATCCCCCAAACTTCGTCTTGGGTGCCAGCGACAAACGTCTGCACAGAGGCACCCTGAGCAAGGTTGGGTTTCAGCAGTTCTCCTAGCTTGAGTGGGAATGTCGGCTGGGTGGATTGTGGTGAGGAAAGGTGAGAGGGGTCAGGCACAATGCTACTCTGCCCTCCAGAGGCAATCCTGCAGTAGGTGAATGGCTGTAACAGAGGTAAAGAGGAGTGCAAACGTTAAAGCACTGAATCGATATTGAGTTTAGAATACTCTGAAAGAAATCTTTCAATCTGAAGAGCGAGCGGCCAACAAACATGGAGGATGTGGAAAGAATCACCACCCTCACCTCTGCTAGGCTGGGGAATTTCAGCTGGGATGTGAGTCTCTGCCTGCCATCGATGAACACAGATATCTGGCTCTGTACGAACGGTCGACGTGACGATGTGTGGATGACATCTACGCAGTGCTGAAAACACATTGACAATTATATCAGGGGGAATAGCTGCGTACTACGATAGTTGTGATACAGGTAGGCAGTGATGTAGCCACTAACATTTATTGTTGATAGGGGCACGTGTGGCTACCCTACAGCATTGATTCTAGTTATTTCATCAATTGTGACCAAAGGCAAACATAGAAAAGCTAGGTTACCCCCCCAAGAACCTCCACCACATAGGTAGATATAATAATTAGTTACTGCCACCATACCCAGTGTCCATCAGCAAGAGGCTTATCAGTCACCAACAAGGTATGGAATTCCTTTTTGATTATGACAGCAATGACTAGAAGACACTCTTGCGTGAAGAAAGCCTCGAAGCCCATGCCGGTGCCAGTTAAAAAGCTGTGGATACCAACATACGACTCATTTACTCCACATCGGAAAACAAGCTTATTACAACTATGCAAACATGAGTATTTGATTACATCCATGACAGCCATTATGCCATTATGATTGCATAAGTAATTCCTAGCAATAAAATACAGAATACCTGTACAGCATTCGACGTGCTGGGCGGCCCACACTGGTTTTGGCGTGGTCAAGTGTGAGCCACGCATGGAAGGAGAAGCCATTTCCAGCCCACTTACGAATTCCTGGGATCAACAGACCCTGTAATATGTAACTGAACATTAGTAATCTCGAAAGGTATAGGGCAAAGAGAGAAAAGGGCGGCAAAGAGAAAGACAGAGGAGGAGGTAGGGAAGAAGAGAGGGAGGGATTGATGGAGTGCAAGAGAAACAGAGACACAGAGAGCGAGAAAGATTAAGAGAGAGAAAAGGAGAGAGGGGAAAGAGGTAGGGGAGGTAGGGAGGAAGACAGGAAGAGATGGAGGGAGTGAAGGAGGGAGTGATGGAGGTGGAGAGGGGATAGAGGGAGTGATGGAGGTGGAGAGGGGATGAAGGCAGGGATGGAGCTGCTGACATTTACTAAAGTATTCAAGTAAGTGAGAAGTAAAGTTACTTCTAGTCTCTTTACAGTATTGTCATTTTATCTTTTTACTTCTAATTTTATTTGATTTATAAACAGCTTATTTTTATTCACTAGTTTTTAATATAATCACCATATCTGTCTGGAATGCATAATACTTATGACACCATTTCCGCTTGTATAGTTGAACCCTGACAGACACTGTAATTTACCTCATCTTGACCCTGGATGTCGAAATAGTGTAGAGCTGCTTCATAACCTCCTTCTTTCCTGGCCATCACAGACATTGCATGCATTAGTCTGCTCATGTATGGGAACTGTACACAAACCAGATGAAATTGCACCCACTCACAGTAGCCAACAATGCTGATCTTTACTTATATACAGTTTACAAACCTCCAGAAGACCAATTATCTGTCTCCCACAATGGTCTGTCTAACTCTAATTGTAATTGCTGGTAGAGCCATCAGTACAGCAAAACTGGCATAGACACAAGACACATCGCTAATAATGTAAACAATACTAACACGCAAATATCCACAACACTGCTCTCAGAACAGACTACATCAGTGTACATGTACCAATTGGCACATATACCATCCACTATGACTTGTCAATGCAAACAGTGAGACATGCTGCAGCTGTATACCTGTTTGCCATCTTCATCCAGTCTGAGCAGTGACAGAAGTTGCTTGAGTTCTGTTGCTGTGATCGAATGACTTCCCAGCAGTTCCAGCAGGTTGAACAGCTGCTCTGTAACGATGGAGGCCAGTGCTTTTACCACTAGAAGGTGCATGATGCTTGACACGTACATCTTAGCTACACAATGTCGTGTGTTTTGTGATATTTTAACTGCATGTGACCAGCTGAAGGCTATTGCATGCTTATTAAGTAAAGCAAATACTCATCAACCAGTGTGTTTACTTAACAGAGGGCACAACATAAGAGTACGTAGCATTTTTCAGCACCTAATGTTCATAGTAATCACATTTAGCTATTTATATAGCTATTAGCCATGATTAACACAATCAGTATTTTGGAATGGACAATCCTGGATTATCCAAGAGAGTGGCAAAGCAACTGCTGCTCAAGGTAACTTACTGACAGCTGGTCATGGTGACTTAGGGAAAGCTGATCATGGTGACTTACTAACAGCTGATCATGGTGACTTACTAACAGCTCGTCATGGTGACTTACTGGCAGCTGGTCATGGTGACTTACTGACAGCTGATCAGGGTGACTTACTGAGGGCTGATCAGGGTGACATACTGACAGTGGATCATGGTGACTTACTGGCAGCTGTGTTGGGTAGCTTACCTACAGCCCTGGGGCTGATCTGTTTCTGTCGGTTCATGATGACAAGGATAGCACTGATCATGCCCTGGCTGCAGCATTGCATCTTGTTGTGAATGCCCTTAGCACATAGCGCATACAGTCTCTCCGAAAGCCAACTCTACAAACAACAATCGCCCAATGGTTTTCCCACATAAATATTATAAACGTATAAACCAAAATCAGCAATTAGAACCTGTTAAAAATGCATGAATTCTAATCTAATCCAGATAGAACACAGGTAAAGAGAATGGCCTATATGCATGTTTGCCCACCTGTAAATCATGAGAATGGATATCAGGTAACCAGTGTACAAGCATCAGAGCAGCACCTATGTTGGCCATAGACTTGTCCTTTGCATACTTGTAGTCTCCTTCCACGACCTGTTAACAAACAATGATTCATGAGGCATTTAACTGCAACCCATTCAAACCGTTTGAGTTTTCAGTGACTTATTATCAAAGTACAACAGTACATCAAGACAATGTGTTTGTAAATGTACAAAACATATACATCGTTGCCTTACACTACGACTAGAAGAACAGTACTCACCATGTTGAGTAACGTTTCCAGTAACTCCATGCTAGGCTGACCGAGGCTTTTGACAGCCTCGTTCAATTTGAGAAAACCAGACTTTTGGGAAAACACCTCCTGAAAGATAAACGTCCCGTCTCAGCAGAATTTTATAGATGCATTACACCCGTCTGAAAGCTGCAAGCTAGACGACAAGAGAAATATAATGAAGAAGAAAGCTGCAGCCGTACCTTGATATTGTCGTTTGCCGCCACCACCGCTGACAGCGCCCTCACCACAGCCATCGCCAGTATCTGTGCATTTACACCCGTCAGCTACAAAAACAGAAAGCATGCACACAGATACAGCAATATATGTACACAATCCAGGCAGAAACTGCTTCCTTTGCCTCAGGTATCAACTCTAGCTGCTGACACGAGTATCATTTGTTAGCTTCCCCTTCCTTTTTCTATCACTGCTTCTCCCCAACCCAAAGTTCCGCAATACACTTTTCCTCCTTGTTCGTCGCCCCATTATAAATAGTGAACCTACGGCTGATTTGTACAGGAGGTCGATGAAGATGTCGAAACAATTGGAGCCAACAAAGGCTGCCTGTAGCGCCACCTTGTCCGAGCACGCCAGCATGTCCGACACCGTGTCTGAAACACAAGAACAGCTTCCTGCACGCGCCACCTCCGTTTAATACCGACATGCTTGCTGAAGCGGACGGAAAATAAGATCTTTATTTTATTGACAGTTGAAAAAATAGGAAATTACGATCTGATCACCAGTGGCTTAGTATGGATAGAATCCACCTCTCTTGGTAAATGACCCCTTTGTTTATATGTTTACATTGAATGTACCATGTGATACCACACAGAGGACATACTCAGCAGCCTTATGGGTATGGCGTATTCCTGGTCTTCGTGTGCTAAGATTTCTGCACCCTCTTGTTGGTGGCAAGCCTTATTCATCACAGAGAAGTAACTGTCCAGCAGTACACTGATATCCACCTGTCTCTGTAGGTGTACACAAGCATTGGTATTGCACAACCATAATTCACCACCCACCTTTTCATCAGCTGTTTTCTCATGCATGTACAAGAAGTAGATTCAGCACAGTGACTTGCTCAATAACAGATAGAGCACACAGTCTAAAGTCGAAGATGATTTATAGCATAGCTTTTAGACGAAAGCCAGCTCGACTGATCAATTGCATTTCCCAAAACCTATTAAACCAGCAACTCAAAATCTATTTGGAAAAACCACCAATTTGCTGTTCATGACATCACTAACCAATGTTCTAACCTTCCACGTCGTCGACCATAAAGGATACAACATGGAAACAGATCAACTTTTGCCTCTAGATTTGTATACGATGTGTGTAATTATGGCCATCACGACAATCGATTTCTACATCCAATCAGATCAGGGTCAGTGTGTAAGCTGCCGTGCTAGTGCAACCCCTACCTGCTCCGGACTGCAGCCGTGCAGCGCGTGCACGGCCGTTACGATGCACTTCAGCGCCAGATTCTGCATGCTGGAGTCGTCCTCGACGGTGGCGCCACCTGCGTCCGTCGTCACGAGGTCGAGCAGGACGTCGAGGGTGGCCGGCGAGACTGCCGTCAGTGCGTTATGCTAGAGTGAGACACACCAGTGAAAAAAATACACGGGGGCTCGAGGCGATTTAGCCCCGAAATGCCAAAAAGAGCCCCCGTAGAGTTCAATGCAAACCGTTAGAGTGCTATTTTCATGCATACGAGCTTGAAAAGTAGCCCCCAAAAAAATAAATTATATTTTTTTCCCTGACACACACACACACACAACACGGTCACGCTCTCCTCATGCCCATACTGCTGTACGCTGAGAGATCCTTTGCAATAATTACGCGTGACAAACACATCCTATGCGCTGCTGTGCAATTACAGTGACTATATACCTGCTCTTGCCGCAACAACATCATCATGTGGAAATACAACCACAGGGTTTTAATCTGGCTACTACTTGTTGTACACTAACTGCAGTAAGCCAGTGAGCAAGGGTGAAGTGGGCACGATTCACACTCACCTGGCTCCCTGTCATAACAGCTCCAAACATGTGCAATATTCTTCGTTGTAGTTCAGCAGGTATCACAGTTCTGTGTTTCCTAAAGCATTCTGTGGAAATTTTTTTAAAGAGAACAGTTTTGTTTCACAGATAAACAGTGGTAACATTGTGAAGTTTGAGCAAAAATTCACAAGCACTTATATGGCTTCATATATATGTGATGGCTTCAGATTTTCAATGAGTGACACATTTCCAGTTTATCCCTAGAGATTAGCATCAATAACTAGTGGCGTATCACACAGGCATCAGTCTAGATAGAGTATCATAAACTTAGACACATCTCGTTTAGATCACTACTGAGAGAAGTACTGTAGCATCATGCATGGTGCACAATATTGTAAAAGACACTATGATGTCCAGATACTTTTAACAGACACGATATTATAAAAGACACTAAGATGTCCAGATACTTTTAATAGACACGATATTATAAAAGACACTAAGATGTCCAGATACTTTTAATAGACACGATATTATAAAAGACACTAAAATGTCCAGATACTTTTAATAGACACTATATTATAAAAGACACTAAGATGTCCCACAAACGCAGAAATTCTGGCACCATTACTACTCAACTCTACGAGGTAGTGGGGCTAGTAAGGGGACACAAAGTGAAGTTGTCAGTGTAGCATTGACAGGAGACTCACACATGGGCCCTGTTACACGCATAAAGACAAACATGATTCGAAACAGTGTGGTATTTACCGTAGAAGAAAGGCACTACTTCCACGTGAAGCAGTGCTGGCTTCTCTAGCAGGCGCATGTAATCAACCGTCTGCCTGCAATGTGAACCGCACTGCTTTAGAAAATAATATACAGTCAGACAATAAAGTAGAATGCTACTCACACATGATCACATGTCTCTATATCACATGTTTGCTCGTGAATTCAAAGAGGTCTAGTCTCCTTAATACGTAAAGACACAGTGATAGTGTATCAATAAAAATTGGTGTGCTAAAAGTACTCAAATTTCGTTTACTCTACAGTGTTCTACAAGTCAGGATAGGACAGTCATTATAACAACAATTAAACATTAAATAATAACAGTTCAAGAATAATTTGAAAAGGGGAACTTACTCATGCAACTTTTGTCTCCAGACGAAATATGGGTCATACAAGCACTCAAAAAAATACAGCAGGTGTTCCAGAAACACATGAAATGTCTCAGCTCTCTTCTGACCTGCAGGATCTGGACTTTCCAACTACAAGGTACATACAATCAGTGCTAATCATGAGCAGGGTCACCAATCACAAAACAAGGGCACATGCTCTTCATTATAAACTATCTATTATGACAGTGGTGGCCCATATAGTACACAAATGTGTGATATAAGTCTGCCTAGATATAGCTTCAACAAGTGCCGCAGAGCTACAGCGCTCAACTGACGTGTACTGTAGCCGGGTATTCTTCTGATAAACTCACTGGCAACCAAATCAAGTGCGCCCTCCCGCCACCGCATTCGCGCTCAGAGCATATATCTAGGATACTACTAATACAGATGTAATATCTATGATAGGCTTTGCTATACCGGTAGTACAGTAATAAAGATACAGCTGTGTAACTTTAATGACTTCGCTATATTAACATGTTATCATGGATATGCATCGAGCATGAGCGTAGTAGTGGTGATGGTGGGGGAGGGTGGGGGAGAGTGGGGGGCAGGAAGAAGGGGAGGTGGGAAGGAGGGGGGTGGAGGGAGGGGGCTGGTGGAGGGGGCAGTTCAGTCCTTTGTTAACAGTCAAATAATCCATGTTTAACCCTCCTCTTGAGGGTAAAAAGGTTATCAGACACTTACTCTTCGCACGTCAGCAGAAAGTACATTTCATGGTTCCTTCAATAAAGTGATAAAAATGGTAGGTCAGCTCTGAAACAAAAAAATTTTGCACTCGGTCCGTTAGACCATGTCCTCAGAAAATGTCAGATATCGGACCTTTCCCCCAATGCCCTTTGACCTGTGACCTCCAATTTCGCACTGGTGATGGGTTTCCTCCCTATCACACTATACATCGAATATTACGAGCGTAGGTCGAGCCGTTGAGATTTGTGCCGCAATTCCGTATTTCCTCCTATACCTTAAAGCCGCACTATGCACATCCAAACGCTAATTTCTCCAGTACTAGACTAGCAAATACTTCGTGTCATGCATAATCACACTACCTTATGACAAAATAAACGCCGACTGTTTGTCAAACAATTTAGCCTCGAAGTGGTGAGGTGACGTCACATGTTTTTATCTTTGCTACACCCGTACCGCTGTCCGCAGGGCAACGCGAAAGTGTCAACAACATCGGAGAATTTGAACAACATTGGAGGTATTTTCAAATACCTTTTATAAGACAAGGCGCAGTGAAATGGGAGGAACTAGAGTTTATTTTGTCATAAGGTAGTGTGATTATGCATGACACGAAGTATTTGCTAGTCTAGTACTGGAGAAATTAGCATTTAGATGCGCATTGTGCGGCTTTAAGTTAAGGGGGAAATATTCCCCCTCCATTGACACATCTTGCCCTTTGACGCTTGACCCCCAAATTCGACATCCCGAGTCCTTTTCGCGATCCCCCCCGACGTCCCGAATATCAAGACCGTGCGTCGAGCGGTTAAGATTTGTGCCGTAACTGTTGACACACGGACGGACGGACGGACGGACGGCCCGACGGACGGACATTCATGCGATTCTACAAGCTGCATCCGACTTCGTCAGCTGAGCTCAAAATCGTTATAGCAAGACCGACCGATAGCATATCAGAGATGCCAACACATATTTGAAGCAATCTGTAGTTTCTGGCCTTCAAATTAGTAGTTTGAGGGTCACGTAGTGACCCGAGTTTGCTAGAAGGGTCCGGCATGCCCCCGGAAAATTTTTTGATTCTGAGATGCAATTTCCTGCATTCTGAGGGTCAAAAATGACAAAAAATTGACAAAAAATGACAATAATTGACAAAAACAAAAAAATTTCCGATCACAGTGAAATTCGTAGTTTGATACAAACTGGTCGTAGTGGTGCAAAAGGAATAGAAATTCGTATAAAATATGGATAAATCGTAGTGGTTGGCATCTCTGGCATATGAAGCAAACATATACACACTGATGAAGACAGCATACCATCACGGACAGAATTACATTCATAATCATTGGAAGAACTCCTATACCAATGGTGCAAGCTAGCATGACAAATAGTGATACAGGTTAGTACTTGAACAGGTTAGCACCAGAAATAGCACATGAAATGAAGACATGAAAAGAATATTGACATTGAAAACTCCTAAATGGGATATTTAGGGCCAGAAACATGAGGTTAGAGAGATAAAGATAGAGCCTGGTCGATAATAGTATTGCTTCACTATTATTATTACTATATTTTTGTCTTACCTCTTTCAGAACATTGCTTGCTATTGTTACACTGTGGCTAACGTATTCACAAGATCCAACAAGAGCAACATTGTCCATGTTTCTGAAATTTAACACATATCTTATACATAGACCATTTTCTCTACCACCTACTGACTCACACCTGGTCTTAATTAATAATTATACAGTGTCAGGAGATTCTATGCTTAGCAAGATTTATGCCAAAGATTATCATATCGAAATGAGTAAATTGTTTCCTTTGTTAATTGTGCTACGTAGTCTAAGCTCATGTATAATTTTACAACACCAAACAGGGGTACCTCTTTTAATGGCTATATGGGTGCATGCGTGTGTGCTTATGTATTTGTGCATGCGTGCATATGTAATCTCATACTTATGCTAGAAGTTAAACAGCTAAAATATGCTCTTCAAATAAAAATCAATGTATAAATTCACCTGCTAATGATAATGAGAGTTTTCAGAAGGTCCACTACATAACCTAGGTCTAGGAGGCTTGGGCTTGTGTCCATGCAGACCACAAGCTGGCGGGAGATCAACTGTAGAAGTCCATCTGGCAAAGAGGTCAGGCTAGGACCCTCCTGACTGAAACTATGTACCCACCAGCACAGCCAATTAGCACAGAAGGTTTTATTACATCTCACTGTATACATAAATTAATATACAATACTACAATGCATGTAACTTGTAAGATAAATTCTAATATATATTAATATATATATATATATATATATATATATATATTATATATTAATATATATATATATATTCAGGGCTACCGCTGGCATTCGCCACCTTCACAAAATGCAATAAATAAATAACAGTGGCGATCTTACCACAAAGTGGCGAATGATTTAACTGCTCACAAAATTACGATTTAAAAAATAATAAAATCGTCAAATTTCAGTGTTGTGCGAGTACTAACAAATTCCATAACCTAGTCATATTTTAAACTTACCTTTACATAAAACAACCTAGTTTTGTGTAGACTAAACTACATTAATTATCTTATTTTTACTTGATTACCTGATTAAAAATGTTCTGTACACCTCATCCCATTCCCATCACCTATTTAAATGCCTTGCTTAGCACATATAATAAAGTGAACAGTGGCTATAGTTTTTCATTGATGGCTAAAAAATTACTTTGGTGGTTCAAGTCTTGGCTCAAACTTTAAAACATCCAAAGGTGTATATATATATAAACTGCACAATACATACCCTTCACTAAGTTGCACGAAATCTTTGTCTAGGATATCTCCATAGCACTCTAAGAAGAGGCTGATAAATTCCTTGAATAATTCAACATCATTCTGGAAAAAGTGCATCGCCGCAGATTAAATCACAAATCATTATAGAAAGTTAAGAGCTATAATTAATTAGTCACATCAACATTGTTGATTTATAATCACCATATACATAAACTTGAAAGGCTTTACTAATTAGTTAGAAAACATTGTTCACACCAACAGGCATATAATTAATTAATGCAGTATCATTAAAATTGTTTTGACATTAGAAAACATGCACAGATAGACACAAACAAATTGATTGGGTATGTGAGGTTAAGATTTGCATCACTAACTTTTTCTTTGAATTGAAAACATTAAATAATTTAAAATATGTATGCAAAAGTAAAAAAAAATATCTAAATGGAAGTGCATCAGACAGCAAGTAGGTTTTTCTTGAAAACATCTGTGAGAGGGTGTGGGGAACCACCAATCACTTCTTCTCTACATTTTCTAAACTATGAATCTTCTTCAGTCCCTAGACCTATTCCTGTTTACATAAGCCATCTGGCACTTTTAGCATCAATCACACAAGTTCATATACAATGAAATTCATTTACATGCTTAATTAGTTGCTTTTTTCGGGTATAATTTGCATATAATATTGTGTAAACGATAAAGGCAAATAAACAGAACCACAGTCAATCACTCAATGCCAGAACCCTGCAACATCAATGCCAGAGAAGCAGACTCTAACAAAAATATATACACATAGCGACTTGCATGTTTTCTCTAAACATCACTTGTAGTTGTAAGCAAACGGAATGCACCAGCTACTGTGAGATGGCTGTATCATCTTGTAGACATTGGTATCTAAGGAATGCCTTAGCCTGCAGTACATTGTGCTAGGGGAGCTAATCATACACGTGTGTATGTACAGCATCCGTTGCTGTAACACCCATGGTCACATCAGAACTCTGCCTGCTGCCGACTGAATCTATTTGCACACAAGTCTCTAGGGCAGGATGCTGAGTAGTGGTTACTGGCATGATGATTTACAGAGTAGTTTCACACGTACCTACAATCATACGTTACATAGCCCAGACAAGAATACAATGAGAGCAGAGAGAGTAAGAGAGAGAGTGTGTGTGTGTGTGTGTGTGTGTGCGTGAGAGAGAGAGAGAGAGCGAGAGAGAGAGAGAGAGAGAGAGAGAGAGAGAGAAAGATAGCGCAAGAGAACAAGTGGAGAAGACAGAGAAAGAGAGAGTGCGAGGGCACAGGAGATGACGTGGAAGTGTGAGGATGACAAGGATATGGAGAAAAAAGGAAAACGTAAACGTAACGTAAGGAAACGTGGGAGAGAGGGCAAACAGAAGCCACTAATAAGCAGCACTCATGATAATCAGTATTCAGTTAGGACCCATTTTCGTTAGACATGTTCCTAAATGGTACAGTGAAGAGTACGCATCAGCTATGAACAAACATGTATATATATTTCTTGGCGTTTTGGGAAATTGGTGTACTACAAACGCTACTAATTAATCTAAGATGTGCAACAGATGTGACATGAAATCCGTGTCTGAAATTCTAGACATATCTATTTTATATCATATACCAATTATATATATGAAATATGTGGATGAAGCAACACCCAGATTCGAATAACTGGCAATAACAGTGTGGTTCCTAATGAATATATGTATGAAACCCACAATTTGTAAATAACAGTAACACAGCCATATATATTGGCATGGCTTGTATTACCATTAACGACTTATTATTTTGTAGCAGGTAGCAAGGTAGAAGCCACATTCTGTACAGTGAGATAGATAGCTTCCAGGTAATTATATATCTACCCACCAGCACCCAAGCCTATAGAATCAACAGACCACGCAAAAGATATAAAGAGATTTAGTGGCTATATTTGACTTTACCAACATCAACAATAGAGTGAACTAAAGAAATAAGGTCATGCACGTATTGCATAAATTCCAATCTTTCATTGCATGGCATCCAGATATAATTAAAGTAGCTCCAGTACCTCTTGCAGAGACATTCAAGTGCTGTATGAGTGTGCGTGCGTGCATGTTAGTGTTGTGTACCACCTGCAAAACTAATTGGTTCCACAGTAACCAGTAACTGCTCATCATAATTGTTTACCAACTATCCTGAAAATGAGGCTACAACAATGGACTTGTCCCTCTATCAACGGCGTAGCCAGGATTAAATCTAAGGGGGGGGGGCGGCAATCAGTTTGAGGGAGCGGAGCGACCGAGAGGGGTGGGTGTGGGAGGCAGGTGTCCCTTGCAGTTGCAGTGAGAGCTTTTTGCATTTTGATGTTGTTAATGGTGCAATTTGGTGCATGTTGTTGGCATGTTTTATCGACTTGAAACAGTCCTGCTGGTTTAAATAAGGTAGCAATAGGTGGTATAATTGATGTAAATATTTTAACAAAACAAGGATATCATTTAAATAAATTTCTAGTATTGATTCTTATAATGAATATCATGAACACCGTCTGCTAAGCAATCAAACAAAAATAGCATGAAGATGAGGTTTGCGATCACTTGCAAATTACATTTTATACAAAAAGTCATGTAACATTACAAAGATAAGTGCTGGTAACGTGTGTGATGACACTCGGGAGGGGGGGAACACATTTTATCCATCCGAGCTCCATGTACATACAGGCAAGAGGGAAAATACAGCTCTCTCAAGCCTACCGACCGGTCCCGCATTCATCCTAACGCATTGTGTGCATAGGGTACAAGGTACAGAATACCCCAAACCACAGATGCAATACTTTCATCCAGAATTTAATTAATTATTAACTATATACGCATCTGTGAAAACCTTCTTTATTCGAACACCTCACTTACGTAAGGGAGACCGGCCGAACTGAACTGATCAACTGAATCGCAGTATTACAATTGAATTCGGCTTGATTTCAGTGACGGAATTTTTTTTTTTTAACTTTTTTTTTCTTTTTTTTCGCTTTCTAAATCTTAGGGGGGCAACCGCCCCCATCGCCCCCCTGGCTACGCCACTGCCCTCTATGGGTTACTCTTGACGAGTACTAGGCCCCTACGAATTTCCTTTAACAGACAAACCAGCTGTTACTACTTCTACTCTGTATCGGCCACCATCACAACATGCTGATGATTTTGCCAATTATGTATATATTATATATTTTTAATTGTATATGTATTATTAGTCCTGAGTGAATAATAATAGACTCCCACTGTCCACTGCGACTGTCAATCAGTGTGACGCAAGAATTAAGATACTGAATGACAATCCAGTGCAGTAGCTTCCATCTCTGCCACACATGTATGCGTATAAACAGAGAAATTGCTCCGACCTGTGATTGGAGGATAAAAATAGACTCCCGCCGCATACGCTATTATGCTATGACCAGTAGGAACGTGTACTAACCATCATATAGAGCGAACGATTTGAGTTACATTTCTATAAATTCTAGCTATTATAGACACATGTCTTAGCCTTAATCTCTGTTATTTTTTAGTCTATTGAAGCACGATTAGTCTAATTAATTTGCAAATATACACGCGCAGCTATGACCGGTGAAACGAAACGTCACGAATTCTATTTTTATCCTCCAATCACAGGTCGGTCCGAGCAATTCCTCTGTTTAGACGCATGTTCTGCCACTCCTGACGGTTTATACAAGAGGTTGAAAGCTTGTTTCAGCTTGAGAAACTAGCGGTCGCCCAGTCGCCAGTGGCGATTAGAAAATCTACCGGGCGACTGCTTGCTTGTGTCAGTTGGTCCGGCGGGGCGACTAGATAATCGCCGCACAGCAGCGAAAAAAATACAGACTTGTAAACGGGAGCGCATAATACGACCCGTTCCTCAATGTAGCCGGGGTAGCCAAACCTTCTAGAGCTGCATGAACTCCCTCAACGCATGATTCGCCACACGAACAAAAACTCGCGACGGTCTAAGAAATCGATTGGGCCGGCATGTAGTGCAGCCCGCATAACAATAAGTTTTTATATCGCAGGCGTTATCATGGGGAGTGAGGGCACGACCAGTGACACCTGACACGCACGTAATCAAAGCTGTTAACTGAATTTTTCAGTTTTCATGTGGACTATTGGAAAGTGGCATGTGGAAAGTGGACTATTTTTAT